AATTGTACTGTAATAGTGCTGGTAATAGTACTGGTAATAGTACTGGTAATGGTACTGGTAATAGTACTGGTAATAGTACTACTAATAGTACTGGTAATGGTACTGGTACTAGTACTGGTAATGGTACTGGTAATAGTACTGGTAATGGTACTGGTAATAGTACTGGTAATAGTACTGCTAATAGTACTGGTAATAGTACTGCTAATAGTACTGGTAATGGTACTAGTACTGGTAATGGTACTGTAATGGCACTGGTAATGGTACTGGTAATAGTACTGGTAATGGTACTGGTAATAGTACTGGTAATGGTACTGGTAATAGTACTGCTAATAGTACTGGTAATGGTACTGGTAATGGTACTAGTACTCAATTCAATTCAAGTTTATTTAAATTGCGCCAAATCACGACAAGAGTCGTCTCAAGGCACTTCACATAATAAACATTCCAATTCACAGTTCATTAAGCCAATCAGAAATAATGTTTCCTATATAAGGAACCCAGCAAATTGCATCAAGTCACTGACTAGTGTCAGTGACTATACAGCAATCCTCATACTAAGCAAGCATGCAGCGACAGTGGAGAGGAAAACTCCCTTTAATCAGGAAGAAACCTCCAGAGAATCCTGGCTCAGTATAAGCAGCCATCCTCCACGACTCACTGGGGATCGAGAAGACCGAGCAGACACACACACACACACACACACACACACACACACACACACACACGCGCGCACGCACGCACGCACGCACGCACGCACGCACGCACGCACTCACACGCACACACACACACACACAGAGACACACACACAAAGACAAGTAATGCGTCTATAGTTATATTGTGATGTCTTAGTAAATATTGTATTTGGTGAAAGATAAACTTGTATTTATCCTAGTGGATCTATAATTAAACGGATAAACTAGTAGTAGCACATCAAAAATCAATGAAAACAAAAAGTTATTATCAGGAGAGGGAGAATGTTTTAGTGGTTAGCAGCAGTGTGCTAGTCGATGGCCCCCTCCATGAGGCCACCACAGCTCAGCAGAACATCGTTGTAGCTTCTTCTGGGGAGAAAAACACTTAGAGAGAAAATAAAGTTAACAGCTGAAATAGCAGGAAATTATACAGTTAAAGAGCAGATTGTAGAAGAAAGCAGTAGAGTGTGAAAAGTGGTCAGTGTGTCCTCCAGCAGTCTAAGCCTATAGCAGCATAACTACAGAGATAACTCTGGATAATCTATCCTATTTAGATGGAGGCATGTTGGAGGCAGGGCAAGGGAGAGCCGTCTTTACCGACTGTACACTCCACCTCCCTCGACTCCCCCACTTGTCCAGATTTAGGCTAACATCAGATTTTAACTATAGGCCCTATCAAATAAAAATGTTTTAAGCCTATTCTTAAAAGTAGACAAGGTGTCTGCCTCACGGACTAAAGCTGGGAGCTGGTTCCACAGGAGAGGAGCCTGATAACTAAAAGATCTGCCTCCCATCCTAATTTTAGATATTCTTGGAACCACCAGTAGACCTGCAGTCTGAGAGCGAAGTGCTCGGTTAGGAACGTATGGAACAATCAGATCACTGATGTATGATGGAGCTTGATTATTAAGAGCTTTATATGTGAGAAGAAGGATCTTAAAATCTATTCTGAATTTAACAGGTAGCCAATGTAGGGAAGCTAAGACAGGAGAGATATGATCTCTCTTTTTAATTCTCATCAGAACTCTAGCTGCAGCATTTTGGACAAGCTGAAGACTTTTAACTACATTCTGTGGACTTCCTGAGAGTAATGGATTACAGTAATCCAGTCTTGATGTAATAAATGCATGAACTAGTTTTTCAGCATCACTCCTGGAAAGTATGCTTCTAATCTTAGCAATATTCCGAAGGTGGAAAAAGGAAATCCGACAAACTTGTGAAACCTGGGATTTGAATGACATGTCCTGGTCAAAGATAACACCAAGGTTCCTTGCTTTGTTCTCGGAGATTAATGTAATGCCATTCAGGTCAGGCGATTGGCTAAGCAATTTCCTTTTCTGGATTTCTGGTCCAAAGATGAGAACTTCCGTCTTGTCTTGATTTGTCTAGTACTGGTAATGGTACTGTAATAGTACTGGTAATAGTACTGGTAATGGTCCTGGTAATGGTACTGGTAATAGTACTGGTAATGGTACTGGTAATAGTACAGGTAATAGTACTGGTAATGGTACTGATAATAGTACTGGTAATAGTACAGTTAATAGTACTGGTAATAGTACTGGTAATGGTACTGGTAATAGTACTGTAATGGTACTTTTAATAGCATTGGTAATAGTACTGCTAATGGTACTGGTACTAGTACTGGTAATTGTACTGGTAATGGTACTGGTAATAGTGCTGGTAATAGTGCTGGTAATAGTACTGGTAATTGTACTGTAATAGTGCTGGTAATAGTACTGGTAATGGTACTGGTAGTAGTACTGCTAATAGTACTGGTAATGGTACTAGTACTGGTAATGGTACTGTAATGGTACTGGTAATGGTACTGGTAATAGTACTGTAATGGTACTGGTAATAGTACTGGTAATAGCACTGGTAATAGTACTTCTAATAGTACTGGTAATGGTACTGGTAATGGTACTAGTACTGGTAATGGTACTGTAATAGTACTGGTAATGGTACTGGTAATAGTACTGTAATGTACTGGTAATGGTACTAGTACTGGTAATGGTACTGGTAATAGTACTGGTAATAGCACTGGTAATGGTACTGGTAATAGTACTGTAATGGTACTGGTAATGGTACTGTAATAGTACTGGTAATAGTACTGGTAATAGTACTGGTAATGGTACTGGTAATGGTACAGGTAATGGTACTGGTAATGGTACTGTAATGGTACTGGTAATGGTACTGGTATTGGTACTGTAATAGTACTGGTAATAGTACTGTAATGGTACTGGTAATAGTACTGGTAATAGCATTGGTAATAGCACTGGTAATAGTACTGGTAATGGTACTGGTAATGGTACTGGTAATGGTACAGGTAATGGTACTGGTAATGGTACTGGTAATAGTACAGGTAATAGTACTGGTAAAACAGTAAGCTCTTATTTGAGCCAGTGAATTACGTCTTGCTTCAAGTTATAAAATGTTCTAATAATAAAGATTAATAAGAAATAACATTAATATTTAGAAAATCCTGATCAGGGTAATCCAAATAGCAATAAAATAGTTCTAAAGGCAGCAAATGTCTCATTTATTCTAAATATTCAGTCTTTATTTGTTCATCACTTTAGTCCTTCTGGCTCCTGCAAGCATTTCTAACAACCATTAAATAGTTTCTAGTTCCTCGTGCACAGGAAGTCAGTATGTGGCTGTTTCTGTCTGCTGGTGGTGCGTGCTCTCTTCAGTTTGCTCCTACTTTGTGATGGACGGAGGAAGGGAAAGGAGGGTGCGCGTCTCCATGGCGACCCACCTGCTTGTGGCCCTTTACAAAGCCAGGCGGGGTGGAAAAGAGAGAAGGGCTAACCATTACTGACAGGCAGCTCTGAGGAACAAGGTGGAGGCCCACATGCTTCCTGCGGACTGGAACGGAACCAGCAGAACCACCATGCGCAGCTTCAGAACCGAGCCAGCATGCAGACAGCATCCGCAGCTACGCAGCAAATACTCCTCCGCCACATTCCTCGTTTACGTTTTCCTCCTTTTAAATTCCTGCGCATTCCACACTGGACCAGCAGGCTGGTATCGGGCTGCAGGTTGCCATGCCAACGGACGACACTCAGCCTCCCCGCCCCCCCACAGAAAGTGCCACACAAACAGAGGACATGCTCCAGCACCTGTCAGACTGGACTAGGCAGAACGAGTCGAACCAAACGGAGTGAAGCAGAACACATCGGGAGTGTGAGAGTGGAAGACAAGTCCACGTGCTGCTTAGACGTTCATCTTTCTCCTCTAATCCACACTGGATTATCCTTTTACTGAATGATCCGTGTCTTAATATGGATTATACCATGGCCAACCATTTAAAACCCGGTCTGCACCGATGAGCCTCCACTGCCATGCAAACACAACTTCCTGGTTTCTCTACTTAAATCGTGTGAACTTGTAAACTATTTTGAACTTTGCGTGGAAGAAACGATTCTTTAAAAAGGTTTAAATCTGTAATCTCTACGTTTTCCTTCTGTTAAACTGAGCAGGATTTTTATTTTCCACGAGCTAAACGTGTCATCATTACTCAGGTGTGACTTCAACCATTAGGTGTCTGTTGCCTGCATGAAAAGCACCAACATATTATTTATAATTGTGTTTATTTTACTAAAAGTCTATTCTGCTCACAACACTGAACATCCCTCCAGACGAGCTTGAAGCTAAAAATAAAGAAAACTGGTTAAAAAACTCAAATAAAGGCTTGGCGTGATTTGGTTTCTGCATTAAAGAAGAGAAACGTTTTTGTTTATTTGTGAACAACCCCTTTCCTTTGATCAGAATCAAGTTTTATTTACTCTATAATCTGTTAGGTGTGCAAACCCATAACCCAGCCCTGTCAGCGTCTTAAATTCATGTAAAAATGTTTGATTTTTGTTGTGAATCTGACTAATTAAACAGGTTTAAATCTTATAAAATACAATTAGATGTGATTAAATATCCAACAGAACCAACCCAAGCATGGTGACCATGGTACAACGCTTTTGAAAGACAGAAACAGACGAGCTTGAGATGAAAGATGCTGCAGCTTTCCTCTTCAGAGGATCTTTCTTTAACCCTGGATCCGTTCACATCTGCTGACATTTGGAGTCTAAGCTTCCATCCACAGACAAGATGCACTCCGCTCCACTCTTTAAGCCAAACTGTCCTGCAGGACTCGAGCCATTTGGGACGTCACCTCACAGGAACACAATGCAGCGAAGACCAGATAAACAGATAGGAGAGTGAGATAGTGAGAGGTTGGCTGCTGAGCACCCCCCCCCCCCCCCCCACACACACACACACACTCATGCAGTGAAGAAGTGTGATCAACCAGCTAACCTGACGGCCTCGTCCCCTCTGGCTGCTCTGAAATGTCCTGCAACTCTAAGCAACGGCATCACTGTTAGCTTCATAGTCCTCCTTTAGTTCATCATCATCAGCTTGGCTTGTTCACAGATCCAAACATGTGAAATGCTGCAGGTACGTTTGATTTTCAGTACATGAAATGAATTAGTTACTCCTCTCTGGATGCTGGTGAAAGGATGAATTCCTTTATTCCTAGGTGGCGTGAACAATTCACATGTTGTAAATGAGTTATAAACGGTGCTCTGGTTACCTTGCAGATATCCTAGATTTACTCGATTCATGACATCGCTCGCAGTGAGATTAGACACGTCCTCTACAAGCCGAAGGAAGAGAGACAGAGGAGTCAGAAAGAGAGGGAGAGAAACAAATACGATCAGCCCGTGAAAGCATCTGGACCTTCTTTTAAACGTGAGAGCAAAACATGAAAGTAAACCAGAAGCCATGCCATGATGTGTGCGCAGAATCACCTCCAGATCATTACGCACCTGCAACCCAGGACCTGAACGTGAGGTTGGTGCAGGTGCAACGCATCTGGACTGATTCTGATTTAGCTTCAGGGTGAGAAGCAGAAAGTGCAGCTGTGTGCTCCTGCATCCTCATGCATGAATCATGTGACTGGGACAGGGACGTGTGCACGTTATGACACGTGGGGTTAATGAGGCCGATAGCAGAAGACGGGATCTTCTGGAGGATCATGAGTTCATGATGAAAAGTCAGCATGGCTCTGAGGAAATTAGGTGGCTGCAGCAGATTGGAGCTTTTAGACACACAGCTGATCTCAGAGCAGAATTATTTAGTTGGTTGGGTAGAGCCAACACACACACACACACACACACACACATGCACACACACACACACGCGCACACACACACGCACACACGCACGCACACACACACACACACACATCTACTTTTACTAACTAGTTGTTAGCTGCGGGGATTATCAGAGGCTAAATTATTATAAGCTGGGTTTTATTTTTATATCCACGGTTGATTTGGAACATCTGCAGTTTAAAAGCAGACGAAGAGCAAAGGAAAAGAAAACATGACAACAACAACAAAAGCTGTGTTCTTCAGACTAAACTGGTATTTTACATTCAGTGAAAGAAAACGATCACGTTTCTGAACATGTGAGAGTACCAGATTAACATTTAAAGATAAACAAACGTAAGTTTAGTTTATTTCTGACTAGTTTTGAACAGACAGCTGCATTTACTGTCACTGTGAAGAAATAAATCCCAAGAACTGCTTCTAACATCTTCGTGTCTGCTCGTTTCAAATGGATCTCCTCTTGCATCAACTTTTGATCAGAGACTAAACTCAACCACTGACTTATTTCTGCTCTCAAACAGCCCAAGACTCCAATCTGCGTCATGTCTTGATTTTTGGGCACATTACAGTTAATTAAAACATGTGAATAAACAACATATTAATATTGAACAAAACCCTCATAAACTAAGAGTCATTAGTAGGAACTGAAGTGTGGAAGTGAACCGGCGCTGATCTGGGCCGTGCTGCTCACCGTAGCCCACCGTCGGCAGACCCAGGTGCTTCATGCGATTCTTCACCAGCTCAGAGAGCTCCTGCCGCTCGGAGCGCCGGTACAGGTTGAGTCTCTGCTGAGAAATGCGCTCCGCTCTGCTCGCAGGTTTGACGTTTTTCCTACTTAACCGCCGGGCCCACTGCATGCTCTTCTTCCTCAGCAGCGGGTGCTCCGACTGGTCGCTGGCGGTGGAGTTCCTGTGAGCCGTCTTCTCCTTCCAGGACTCTCCACGGTCGCGGTGCTCCTCGCCCTGCTCGGCGTTGATGGACACCTGGGACTGCAGGTGGAGCACGGAGAGGAAGTGTGTGAACGTAAGTGCTGAGTGGTCTCAGCTTTCGTTAGGTGAAGATCACCAACCTGCACATTGCTGTCGTTCCTCTGGAACAGAACCCAAACACAGATGCAACGGAAGATGAAGAATTAGAAGCAACTTCACCTCAGAGCGCATGAAATAGTTCATCATCACATTTCATTACTTATGGCTGAAAGCTGTAAATGAACCTCAGCCAGCCACCCCGTCCTTCCAGAGGTCTAATCTACCTGAATTACACCAATCACACAGGTGAGATGTTGTCAGCTCGGTGTGAATCTAACAGCTGATTATCGCAGCAGATCACAAACACAACGGCACTGATTAAAGAGAAGTGAGACGAAAAGTGGCATAAATGTTTTATAATCAACTCAAACTCATCTGATCTGCTAGCGGAGGAGGAGGTTGTGCACGTTCTGTATTTTATTGCAACTTTTACATTTCTGTTTGAAATCTGCTTCAAAACAAACGGCGAGAGCTATTTAGAGACCAAACTGCTCGCCTCTGACGTGGAGAACACGTGCGACTCGGTCCGGTAGATGCCGATCGGGATCTCGGCGCTGGAGGAGCAAAACTTCTGAAACAGTCGGCCGTAGGTCCGGATCCAAAGGTCCTCCTCTGTGATTTTTATCTGAGGACACAAAGCAGGCAGCTTCAGAAAGTGCGACTCCTTCCACACAGACCTGAGGACTTCCGTACGTACAACACACAGGTAACCAGAGCCAGGTGTGGTGTCCAGACCCAGAAGGAGCCGGGTGATGGCGATCATGTAGTCCTTCACAAACGACTGTCGAGCGAGACAAACGGGAGATGAACTCATTAAACAGGCTGGTTAAACATTCATTCTGTGTCTCAGATTTATGATCGCCTTGATGTTTTTATTCGCAACGACTCAAACCCAGAGCGCTGGTGTCCCACCTGGTACAGCAGCGTGTCCAGCATGCTGATGCTGAACACTCGGCCCGCAGCAAACGGCAGCCGGAACATGAAGGCCAGGTTGGAGCCCTTATCGCGCTCTATCTGGAAAACGCAGCGAAGCACACGTCTGGCCTTCGTTTTTACAGTGCAGGAACATTTTTACAGTGCAGGAACATTTTTACAGTGCAGGAACATTTTTACAGTGCAGGAACATTTTTACAGAAGCCCGATGGTGCTCGGGTCTTCATTAAAGGAAAATCTTCATTCATGCTATTTTAAACCAACATAGCCTTCATGAGCAAAACAGAGGAAAACAGTGATGTTTATGTCTTTTACAGCTGCATTTTGCACCCATAACAAGTCAAAACCATCCTCAAACCAAACCATTTCTAATGAAGAGCCGTGTTTTAATTCCTGATGAGACTCATGGTGAGGCTGACTAAACCCCCAAACACCAAACCGATTCTTTTAAAATGTCTGTTTCTGTCTTGGGATGAAAACATTTCATGCAAAAAGGTTTTCTTTTGTAAATATTTCTTACTGCACACCAGTTATTAATCTCTGAGTCCGTGAAGAAGAGCTGCATTGGGATTGTAAGCATAACATAATCCAGCTGTTATCTGCTGCTTGGAAACTCGCAGCTGCAGAACCTCACCTTCTCCAGCTTGGACAGAGCGAGCGAGTAGCAGTCCTTCGCTCTGAACTGCATGAACCTCATGTTGGACGGGTGCGTGAGCTCCGTGATGATGCTGAGACTGGGGAACAATCTGAGGGAGGAAGAGACATCATAAATAAATAAATAAATAAATAAATAAAGAGACCAGAAACTTTTGGAGGTGAGATGAGAAGCTTTGTCCAGACAGAAGACGGAGCACAACAGTGATGAATGCGTTTAATTGGGTTTGCTGCATAAACGATTGGTTTCTGGGCTTTTCTGGCAGGAGTTTGTCACGAAGATGAACGGGTTTTCTGTTCTTTAAAACTTTTACAGAACAGCTCCTCGTCCGCTTCTGATGAGAACAGAAGAGGTGAATACACCACAGCCAGAAAGGTAAAGACTCAAAAGAAGTCATTTTAGTACAAGATAAGATGAGATCAACCAAAAAATACAGTTTCACCAGGCGCGCAGATAGGGTGGGGGACGGGGGGGACCTGTCCCCCCCAGATTCAGATCGACTCCGATCCGTCCCCCGCAGTAAGGCCAGAAAGAAAACAAAATCGGAGGTTAAGCGCTTGAAGCTCCTTTTTCCAATTACACTGAATGCAGCATGACGTAAACAAACACCGACTCCAGAGGTGCAACAGGAGTTGCTGCTAGGATGCAGGATGAGCAACGATTACTGCGTATTTAAAAAAGACCAACAGTGTAAGCAGGCGGGACCGATCTGTCTGTTTATGCGTGTTGGTTCTAGTTTCAGTACGTTGTTGTCGGTGTTGGGACTTACTCGTTATAAGCGCCAAAGCCTCATTGCTGACTTTAACAAGTCTCATCTACAAACATGATCCCTCATGAAGTTACTACTTTACACCAGAAGTTGGTGGAGATGTGGAACCTTCAGGATGAGCAACGTTTGGGAGTTTTTAGAGTTTGAAAATCACCTCCCGCCGAGAGGCTCCCAGTCGGGGAGAGGAGGAGACGCGTGCAGCATGAAGAGCACAAATATGAGATAAAACCTATAATTGCTGGCAGGTCTGGTCTTTGTTGACTGATCACTTTGTCTGGTCATGACTGACTCTGATTATGAAGCAGATCTTAGGTGTGTTCTTGCTGTGCGTTATTTCTAATTACATGTTGTCGTTCTTTTTTTAAACACAGAAACGGTTTCGTTACCTGTTATTGACGCTATGTTTCGCTGACGGCATCTTCAGGCTGACGCTGATGGTGGCGCGTCACTTCCTTCTCCGTTTATCTGCGGGCAGCAGAGGACGTTGTCGCCCTCTACTGCCCGCCCTCCCCTCTCCGACGATGCAGTCCCATGCGTGGTCCAGCGTGTAAACTCCGTCGTCCCTGTTCATGGTCCCACATCCACGTCTCCTTATCTCGATTGCTTCCTTGATCCATCTTTTGTATTTTTGTTGTTCGGTGGTTATGATCCGTGTGCTGTCCCAGTCCATTATATGGTTTTCTCTTAAGCAATGATCTGTTACGGCTGACTTTTTTATTGTACTTTCTGCTTCTTCTTTTGCTGCTCTTGTGTGTTTACGATTTGCCTCTTTCTCGCACTCCTTTCTGTGTTCTATTGTTCGTGTGTTGAGTTGGCGTCCGGTTTCTCCTACGTATGTTTTATTGCAGAGTTTGCATGGGATTTCGTAGATGACTCCACATTTTTGTCCAGCTGATATTTTGTCTTTTGGGTGTACTAGTCTGTTTCTAACTGTTGTGTATGGCTTTGTTGGTGTGTTTATGTTGTGTTTTTTCATTGTTGCTCTTATTTTTTCCGTTATGCCTCTGATGTATGGTAGGGTTATCACTGGTTCTGGTTCTTGTCTTTCTGGGTTTCTGGTTCTTTGCTTGGGTTGTTCTTTCCTTTCTGTTTTTGTTTGTTGTTTTCCTTTGTTTATTGCCCATGTCGGGTATCTGCAGGTCTTTAAAGCGTGTTGTATGTGTTTGTCCTCTTGTTTACGGTCTCTCTCTTCTGTTATTATGTTTGCTCGGTGATATAATGTTCTGATTACTGACATTTTGTGTATGGTGGGGTGTTCTGATGTCCATAATAAATATTGGTCTGTGTGTGTTGGTTTCCTGTATGTGTTTATGTTTAGGGTCCCGTCGGTCTGCCTGGTGATTTTCATGTCCATAAATGCTATGCTGCCTTCTGTTTCTAACTCATAAGTGAATTTTATGTTGCCCGTGTCGTCAATGTTGTTTAAGTGTTGTGTTAGTGTTTCTGTTTGACCTTTTGGTATGATTTCCAGTATGTCGTCTACGTAGCGTTTCCATAGTTTTATTTTGCAGTTTGGGGGGGCGGTGGCTATGGCTTTTTGTTCCAGGTCTTCCATGAAAAACTGGCACAGGGTGGCTGATAACGGGTTACCCATGGCGAAGCCTTCCAGTTGTTTGTATATTGTGTTGTCGTATGTGAAGTAAGTGGAGTTAGCTACCAGTCCTATCAGTTGTGCTATGTCATCTGCTGTGAGGTTTGTCCTTTTGTGTAAAGTTTTGTCTTGTCTGATTCTGTTAACTACTATGTCTATGGTTTGTTGGGTTGGTGTTTTTGTGAACAGGGATGTGACGTCATGTGAGATGAGTATGTCGTTGTCTTCTATTGTAATTTCCTTTAGTTCTTTTGCCAGTTCTATGCTATTTTTGCAGTGTTGGTCTGTATTTCCTAATAACGGGCTGATGATTCTGCTGATATCTTTTGCCATGTTGTACGTCGGTGTACCTATGCTGTCAACTATTGGTCTAAGTGGTGTTTTGTTTGTGTATTTTTGGCATTCCATATATTCTTGGAGTTATATTCGCCATGGGAATCCAGTGTTTGTACATTTTTTCTGTTATTTTACTTTTTTCGTGCAGTGGCTTCAGTAATTTTTTCATTTTTTTCTTAATGTTTTCTGTTGGAGCTTTTTTAAGTATTTCATATGTATTTTTGTCCTCTAGCATCTGTTTCATCTGTTGTTTATATTTTTCTTTGTCCATAACTACTGTGGTTCTTCCTTTGTCTGCCGGTAGAATAATTATCTGTTCATTTTTGGATAAAGCTGTCATGGCTGATTGTTCTTCTTTTGTAATATTGCAGTGTTGAATTTGGCTGTTTTTTAATATCCCAACTATGTTATAGTTGCCCGCAGATAAACGGAGAAGGAAGTGACGCGCCACCATCAGCATCAGCCTGAAGAAGCCGGCAGCCGACGGTGAAACGTAGCGTCAATAACAGGTAACAAAACCGTTTCTGTGTTTTAAAAAAGAACGACAACATGAAGCAGATCATTGACTCTGATGAAGAAATTCACTCATCCAGCCGGGAAGATGGACGCTGCTGCAGCATCAGACAGCTGGTGCTGCACGAGAGGTGTGTGTGGAGTTTACGAGCCCCAAACGTTGGGTTTGATGTTGGTTTAACCTTCTCTGGGACGTGATGGATGTAGAAATGATGGTAAAACACCACTAACGTCACAGACGTAGCGACAATTAAAAAAAAAGCCGTAAAAAAGAGGCAAATACAGATGCATAATGTATGGAAGACAAGTGTGCCACATAATCATAAAAAAAGTAAAATATTAAATTAAAAAAGATTTATATATTTATATATAAATTAAAACTTTCCAAATATAATGAAAATTTATAAATAACGTAAAAATACGAAGGAACATCTGTTAGTCAGGCTGAAAAGTTTGGGAACCACTGCTCTAAGTAATAAGTGAATATCGTTTTTTAAATATATTTTATGTGCAGTTTTTTAGGGTTTTTATGTTTTCTGTAAAGATCGGTACGCTGAAAATCATTTAATGTTTTGCATAAAGCGTGAGGTTTGGGTTAGCAACTGATTGGAAGAATAACAAATGACTGAATTAAATAGTGGGGCGCCTCTGTCAGTGCGCCCCAGGGCGGCTGTGGCTACATCGTAGCTCATCCCCATCAGTGTGTGAATGAGTGAGTGAATGGATGAATGATACACTGTAGTGTAAAGCACTTTGGAGTCCTTACTCTGAGAGGCGCTATACAAGTGTGGGTCATTTATCATTTATAGTGTTGATCAGGCAGAGCTTTGTTGCATAACGGCTTCAAACACGTATATAAATGTTAGTTTTTATGTAAACCGTTGGATGAAATTACACAAACTCACTGAGCTCTAGAGTTAAGGTGCTTGCAATAGTTTGTGTATGTGTATGTGTACGTGCGTGTGTGTGTGTGTGTGCGTGTGTGTGTGTTTGGAACTTCGTCCCCCCCAGTTTGAAAATCCTATCTGTGCCCCTGAGTTTCACACAACATCTACCTCATTAAAGCAACCAGAAAGAACATTTTAGAAGCAAAAGTGTGAAATTCAAAAGCAGAAAATCACTCAAAAATCTAAATAAACTAATATTTGTATTTTCAATATGAAATATTTATATTTACTAAAGTATTCATTAGAGGTTTGCGTATAGAGTTCGAGCCACTCACTCCGATGGGAACAAAGCCGATTTTGCTCAGACTTTCACAGGCAGAAGCAAAATCGAGCTTTTATGCCCTTCAGAATAAAAGTCTAAATAGTCTGAGTAATTAACAAAATGGTGTCAAAGAAATAAAATGTGAACAGTTAAGAAGTAAACAGAGATATTTAAAAATTTTATATTTACATATTAATTAGTTAATTTTGTTGTGAATTTCAAATAAAAAATCACTAAAATGTTCCTTTTGATGTCTTTATTCAGGCATATTTTTGGTTGATCCTTTTGGCACAAATCTTACCCCATATTTTAGGCTCTCCTGTTACCTGAACATCGTCTGGACGTTGACGATGGTTTTGGCATCTGCCATGTAGTCTTCCTCAGCACTCATGGTGCTCTCCTTGTCCACAACCACCAAGTTATCAGCATAGATGATCCCACACTGGAGCAGGTTGTCCAGACTGGGGTGCATTCAAGTTACACAACAGATGTGTTGCGTGGGGAAAATCAGAAATCATCATCAAAAAACTTGCTAAATTGTTGTTATAGAGAAGGAATCCAACTCTGAGGGTCTTTTCTGGTGTTTAATATCAAACTGCTTCCAGAAAGCAGCGAAACATAAATATTTTGAGGATTTCTTGGTTTTATGTCAGGTTTCATGAATCAGAAAATTCTAAAGTACAAATTCAGTAAATGGAGAGCAGCTCAGAGTGGGATTTCTCTTCAGCAGCCATTACAGCTTCAATGTCAAATCTGCAAAACAAGCTGGACAGAACTCTCATCCCTTCTGTCAGCCGTCGTTCCAGGTTGTCCGAGACTTCTATTGATGTTTTTAGTTCTGGGACTCTGGCTGGTTGTCCTTCTCTGACACTACTGAGCGGAGAACCTCTCCCACCAGCAGTGTTCTGTTGCTAAACGCTCAAATGCGTGAAGAATGGGTGACCCAAGTGAAAGTGGAAGTGCGGCGGTTTGGTGAGAGACAACCGTATGGTCCAATCGTTGGTTTCGGTTCGAGCCGTGTTATTGGTGGAGGTTTTTGGACCAATGCGGGAGAACCACTTTTTAAATCTTACTATCTCCACAGTATATGTACAGCTAAACCAGTATATGTACAGCTAAACCAGTATATGTACAGCTAAACCAGTATATGTACAGCTAAACCAGTTTATGTACAGCTAAACCAGTATATGTACAGCTAAACCAGTATATGTACAGCTAAACCAGTATATGTACAGCTAAACCAGTTTATGTACAGCTAAACCAGTATATGTACAGCTAAACCAGTATATGTACAGCTAAACCAGTATATGTACAGCTAAACCAGTATATGTACAGCTAAACCAGTATATGTACAGCTAAACCAGTATATGTACAGCTAAACCAGTATATGTACAGCTAAACCAGTATATGTACAGCTAAACCAGTATATTTACAGCTAAACCAGTATATGTACAGCTAAACCAGTATATTTACAGCTAAACCAGTATATGTACAGCTAAACCAGTATATGTACAGCTAAACCAGTATATGTACAGCTAAACCAGTATATGTACAGCTAAACCAGTATATTTACAGCTAAACCAGTATATGTACAGCTAAACCAGTATATGTACAGCTAAACCAGTATATGTACAGCTAAACCAGTATATGTACAGCTAAACCAGTATATGTACAGCTAAACCAGTTTATGTACAGCTAAACCAGTATATGTACAGCTAAACCAGTATATGTACAGCTAAACCAGTATATGTACAGCTAAACCAGTATATGTACAGCTAAACCAGTATATGTACAGCTAAACCAGTTTATGTACAGCTAAACCAGTATATGTACAGCTAAACCAGTATATGTACAGCTAAACCAGTATATGTACAGCTAAACCAGTTTATGTACAGCTAAACCAGTATATGTACAGCTAAACCAGTATATGTACAGCTAAACCAGTATGTGTACAGCTAAACCAGTATATGTACAGCTAAACCAGTATGTGTACAGCTAAACCAGTATATGTACAGCTAAACCAGTACATGTACAGCTAAACCAGTATGTGTACAGCTAAACCAGTATATGTACAGCTAAACCAGTATGTGTACAGCTAAACCAGTATATGTACAGCTAAACCAGTATATGTACAGCTAAACCAGTTTATGTACAGCTAAACCAGTATATGTACAGCTAAACCAGTATATTTACAGCTAAACCAGTATATGTACAGCTAAACCAGTTTATGTACAGCTAAACCAGTATATGTACAGCTAAACCAGTATATTTACAGCTAAACCAGTATATGTACAGCTAAACCAGTATATGTACAGCTAAACCAGTATATGTACAGCTAAACCAGTATATGTACAGCTAAACCAGTACATGTACAGCTAAACCAGTATATGTACAGCTAAACCAGTATATGTACAGCTAAACCAGTATATTTACAGCTAAACCAGTATATTTACAGCTAAACCAGTATATGTACAGCTAAACCAGTATATGTACAGCTAAACCAGTACATGTACAGCTAAACCAGTATATGTACAGCTAAACCAGTACATGTACAGCTAAACCAGTACATGTACAGCTAAACCAGTATATGTACAGCTAAACCAGTATGTGTACAGCTAAACCAGTATATGTACAGCTAAACCAGTACATGTACAGCTAAACCAGTATATGTACAGCTAAACCAGTATATGTACAGCTAAACCAGTATGTGCACAGCTAAACCAGTATATGTACAGCTAAACCAGTACATGTACAGCTAAACCAGTATATGTACAGCTAAACCAGTATATGTACAGCTAAACCAGTATATGTACAGCTAAACCAGTATGTGTACAGCTAAACCAGTATATGTACAGCTAAACCAGTATATGTACAGCTAAACCAGTATATGTACAGCTAAACCAGTACATGTACAGCTAAACCAGTTTATGTACAGCTAAACCAGTATATTTACAGCTAAACCAGTATGTGTACAGCTAAACCAGTATATGTACAGCTAAACCAGTATATGTACAGCTAAACCAGTATATGTACAGCTAAACCAGTATATGTACAGCTAAACCAGTTTATGTACAGCTAAACCAGTACATGTACAGCTAAACCAGTTTATGTACAGCTAAACCAGTATATGTACAGCTAAACCAGTATGTGTACAGCTAAACCAGTATATGTACAGCTAAACCAGTATATGTACAGCTAAACCAGTATATGTACAGCTAAACCAGTTTATGTACAGCTAAACCAGTACATGTACAGCTAAACCAGTTTATGTACAGCTAAACCAGTATATTTACAGCTAAACCAGTATATGTACAGCTAAACCAGTATATGTACAGCTAAACCAGTACATGTACAGCTAAACCAGTTTATGTACAGCTAAACCAGTATATTTACAGCTAAACCAGTATATGTACAGCTAAACCAGTATATGTACAGCTAAACCAGTTCCAGAGAGAACAAAAATATAAAAATTTAAATGTTCATTTATATCCCCCCCTCCACCCCCCCCCCCCCCCCCCCACACACACACACACACACTTAAAAAATGAAATGAATAAAAAACACTTACTTATCAATGGTTCCAGCCATGAAGTAAACCATGGGGAAGCAGCAGATGGCCTCTAGGAAGTGGTTGTCTGGTCTGCAGGAAACCAGAGCATCATCATCATCATCATCATCATCATCATCATCATCATCATCATCATCACCCTAACCCAGCCACTGATTATGTCACTGTTCAAGTCATTTCCTCCAGTTTGCTTGCTGATGAGGGCTGCAAATGTGTGTTTGAACCTCTGCTAGAACATGAGGGAAATCAATATTTAACTCCACAGTGCAATGGGAGGTTTGTCAAAAAGCTGGTTGCTATGGAAACTCCTGAGTGTCACTAAGGCAGCTTGTATTATTTATCCTCCTTAAGGATGAGGATGCATTTAACCAAACACACAGATTGTGGGCTTATTGTATTTTTCTGCATTTCTTTGTGGATTTTTTTCCACCTTGTACTGAAAATGTCGACCAATAAGAAACGCAGCTGCAGATCTGGAACGTCTGCAGGAAACATTCCTTCCACTGGTGCTAAACACGCAGCAGCACAGATCAACGCCGTCTGCTGTTCCAGATCATCTCACTCTCCTATCAGTTAGTCCCTCTTTAAATGTTTAGGATTCATTAGTTCATAATGTGAATGTGTGATTTTGTGTGCTTCTGCATCTTTTAAAGGAGAAACAGTCAGAATGAGGCTGGAAGGTCTTACGGGTAGTCCAGTAGCAGAACGATGGGGTTGAGCTCCTTTCTGGGCCGATAGTACGCTCGCAGAGGGACGATGAAGTTGTAAAGACCGTTCCCCGCAGTCTCCGCAGACACGATAATCAGCTTGTTCTTGAAGCCGTATGCTTTAGCATCCTCAAAGCTGTTGTGTGTGCAGCCCTGAGCAGAGACAGAGTTCAGCAGGAAGTCAAGTCTGGCGTTGGGGCGTTGCAGCGCAGCGCAAGGTCAACGAAAACAAGCACAACAGCTGTTTGTGTCTGCATCTTCACCTTATCGAGGCGGAGGCAGCAGAAGGGAGCTTTCTGTGGAAGGAGATGGCACAGCGTGGGGGAGCTGCCGATGTAGGGAGAGTTGGGAGGGTAGCCCTTCACGAAGCTAACGGGGAAAACATTCACCAGAAACACAAAACACACATTTTATGCGTCAGACGTCTGAAAGTATTGTTCCTCCTCTTAGCTTGAAGCCGACTATAAAACGTCTGAATTCCTCTGGAATAACTGCTCTTCACAGATGATCCACCTTTCCTTCAGCAGTAGTTTGTAGAGAAAAACTAACTAACTGCATGATTTGTACTTAATGTTACCGCCTTAAAAAACTACAAGTAAAAAAATGCATCTTGTTTTTTTATTCCTTCATGGCTTTTCTTTCATCAGCGACCTCTCACCCAGAAACAGTCACCCACTAGAACCCCGTCTTCCTTGTTTGGACTCGAGGAAACCAACCAGCTTGGTTTGTGTCCTTTAATGTGTAACGAGCCAGATGCAATTACCTCATCAGCTGGTCTGCACCCTCTACTTTACCAATAACAGCTTCAAACTGGGATTAAAGCCAGCACTACCAGTGGACCGCCACGTGGAGGCGCTGTGGGACCTCAGGTTTTCTTCCTCACCAGCTCTTTTTGTAAGGAAACAGCTGAAGCAGCAGCTCTGAGCCTGTGCAGGAGCAGAAGCTCAGAGGACCATGTTTCGTCTGACTTAAAGAGATCTACTGTGTCGAGGTCAGCCCAACAGGAAACTGATACCTCTGCAGACGCTAACCCGCTTTAGCCTGCAGAGACCAGTCCTAACTGAAGGTTTCCCTTCTCTGTCCACCTCCGACAGGAGTACTGGGACTCTGAACACGGACATTCCTTGTGCTGACCTCCCTGCCAGGACGTAACTCACTGCCGTTGTGCACCTTGCACCAGTCACACACCTGTCTGAACCTCATTCAACTCTCGTTTTGTCACAATGGAAGCATGAATAAGAAAAATAGATGCAACATCCACACGAGACCACAAACCTCCATACTGTCATGCATTAAAAAAACACACCCATGTGACTTACTCTGAGCCCACAGAGCCTTCCTCGTCTGAATGGTTGGTCTCGTCCTCTGATTGGTCGCTGAGCAGGTCGCAGGGCAAAATGGCGGACGAGTCAGCTATTTCCAGGACGGGTGCGATGCTCGGCCTACGGCTTCCGGCACCGTTCTCCGTCGGCAAGGTCAGTTTCCCGCTTTCCTCTGGAGGATCTGGGTGCTGCAGGTCAATAGCTACAGTGCCTGAAAAGAGATGAGTGACTTTAATGAGCAGCAACACCATTGATGTCATAACGCACGACATCTTCACATGAACTAGCATGGTTTTAGTCCTCAGATGCCCCTCTACTGCCTTGAATAAAACAGGTTCGCTCTGAGGAGAAAATGAGTCGCTGTTCCAGAAACAATCACACGAATAAAAATGATATTTTAGACACGCATCATATAACTTCTAATGATGCATGCTCAAACACACAGATTGTCTTTTGTTGCTACATACAAATGGTGCAAAGTGTGTAGTTGTGAAAGTAAATAAATGATGCATCATGCATGAACTTACCAAACGAGGTGGCCTGACCAACTTTCACAGGTAAAACAGGACATTATAACGTCAGCCCACAAGTAAAGAAGCAGGTTAGAAACAAAAACATGCATCAAGAGACCGCTAACGCAGCAAAGCACGAGTAAACAAACGTTTACACTCAACACAACATCAACCTGCTCCTCCAGCTCTCGTTCTCAGCCTCACCCATGCTGGCGATGATGCTCTGCACAGGCAGCCTGGAGGGGGCGTCGTAGAGTCCGCTGATGGGCAGACCTTTGCTGTGCTTCTCCTCCTGCTTGAAGATGAAAGCGGAGTTTTCCTCCTTGGTGATGTTGATGTAGTAGCAGGTATCAGCAGCAGCCATGATGTGACGTGGTCCCGGATTCAGGAGGATGCTTTTGTTGTCCTCCTTCTTCACACCGATCAAACACACGCCGTACCTGCGGGGAAAGGTCAGACGTTTCCCACAAAGCAGCTTTAGGAGGACTAACATGATACAACTGTGGACCAGAAGAACAGTCACTAACTTCTTGTGGGCGTGGAATGAAGCGTAGGTGAAGCTCTTTCCGTCATACTCGCCGAAAAACTTGCTGTCCCCCAGTCGGATGTGGTAGACCTCGTTCCCAGAGCATCGTCCATACATCTTCTGCCACTGCTCCGGTGACAGCTGCCCTTCCCTGAAAGAGTATTACTGCGAGTAACGGACCAGCAGACAGCTATAAACAGTTTATGACTAAAGGGTTAATGATGTAATACCACTATGTAGTCATTCATTTAGTCTCATTAACCATGACTGCAATTTAAACTCATGAAAGACGTCAACTTCAAATCAAGTGATGGATTTTATTTTTAATTTCAGAGGCTCTTATTTCCCCGTAGGCTGACAAATGAAGCCTCTTTAAAACGGTCCACAATTACAAAACTCCAGCTCTGAGGTCGTTCTGTTCAGATAAATCACGCACATCATCAGTTTTTAATCAGCTTGGTACGGTTTCAGTAAACAGCTGCCGTTTGAATGTCTGTCGTCCTCAAAGCTAGAAGCTACGGCGAGCTGCTGCTGGTGAAGACTAGCGTGTCTAGGGAGGAGAGCATCAGTCGTCACCATACCATTTCATTTTTGCTGCACATGTAAAGCACAGCATGAGAGCTGAACAAAGCGCCTTACAGAAGGTTGGAAACGAGCGGAAAATAAGATGAAATCCAACAATTAAATTCAGAATTTAAAAACAGTCCAATAAGATAAATCAACTAGTGAATAATAAAAACAAAGATAAAAACAGTAAAACCAACCATGGGCCCAGTCCCAACACTCGCCCTGCGGTCTTCAGCAAAGTGCACTTGGAGAAGTGTGCAGTAGGGTTCGAGTGCCTGGTGCACAAGTGTGCAGATAATTGCAGAATTGAGACGGGGAGCATCGAGTCATCGATCACAACGCATGCTGGGATTCTTTCAAAAACCTTTATTAACAACTTTCAAACAAACAACCAAGCGATGATTTGAAATAAATTTAACTTCATTGCTGCTTTGTCTAAAACATTCAGAGCATCAACTAATCGTCCTAAAATGAACTCATTTCATTAGAAAATATATATTTCAGAAAAGGAACTTGATCCTTTTCTCCCGCAGCAATGACTTGTGGGTAATTCCCTTGCTTGAGGTCAGCATCGCTGCAGACTTGGGTGAAGTGCAGATTAAGGGTGCAATACACCCTACAACACACTCGCACCCCTGGCCGGGAACGCGCAGGTGAAGGGCGCAAGTGCGAGGATTGGGATTGGGCCATAATAGAAACATCGTCCAAAAGCCAAATGGTAAAAGTGAGTCTTCAGTCTAGACTTGACAACCGAGACCCTAACTCTCGTATGGCGAGAGGGAGCGAGTTCCAAAGGGGAGGAGCAACGTAGGCAAACGCCCCCTCCCCTCCCGCCTCATAGATCATTTTGGGGGTGCAGAGCAGGAAGTAGTCAGCTGATCTTCGGGAACGCACCGGGATGCTAGGCCATCCATGCCTTGTACACAAATGGTAAGATCTTAAAACAAAGCCTAAAAGCCAGTGTAAATGTGCCAGACTGGGGTCATGTGACAGCGTCTGTGTGTGCTGGTTGGAAACCTAGCTGCAGCTCGTTGCACCAATCAGGAGCACCGATGAGTCGTGAGTCTGCATAATCCAGGTGAGGAGGTGTTAAAGCGTGAATCAGGGACTCCAAATGGGAATCAGTTACGTCAGCCCGGGTTAGTGAGATACTCTGCACATGAATATTCATCATAAACCGTACGGAAGAAGTGGGCGGGGCCATCGTGAAGGCCCACGTTGCCTAACAGCTCCTTCTGGTCACGTTTGGGCGAACCACCAATTTGTCTTTGTCGCTCTTATTTTCTTATTTTTCCGCATTTCTTTTGTTTTCCTTCTGTCCTATTTTTATTTTGTTACGTCGTAAAACTGACAGAAATACCGTTTAAACGTTGTTGTGTTTTCTGTAGGGATGTTTGCGTGTTTGGCTGAAACACATCCTGCCCAGGGACAACAGCTGAGAATGAGCTCTGGAGCGAACACCGACACACTTACAGAAATGTTCACTAGTGTGTCCCCGTTAAACAAACGTCTGCAGGACGTAGGCTACTGCTCGTACACCTGCACCTGGAGCTGTAAACTCACTGTCCTCTGGAGGTGTGAACCAGGAGAGTCACTAATGTGGACGTAGCCGGACACACGCAGTTCAGCGCCAACATGGCGTACTTGAACTCCTCCTCACACACGACATGATCTGTTGAGAGGAAATGATTGCAGAAATGTCTGAGTCTGACTGGAAAAGTGGGTTTCACCTCTACAAGTATCTGAAAAGTTCAAACTCACCTGCAAACTTCACGTGGAATTTATTTTCTGGTTTGAGAATTTGGACGTAGAGAGGACAGTTTGGAGCAAAGTCCTTTGCAGCCCAAGCCCTCAGAATGGTTTGGTGATCCTGCGGGACGAGAAGTAGATTCACTTCACTGTCATGGAGCTTGTGTTTTGTCTCTGGGATCCAGGATGAAGTTTATGTTTAAAGCACGATAATTATTTTATATACCCAAGGTTTTACAGTAGAACTGTTACTCACAGCAGCAGTCCGGTCAACTTCATTCCTGCTGCTCAGGATGAAGCAGGCTTCGGCGTCATCCATCCTGAATGAATCAGAGACAGACAAATCCTGGTCCCGGGGAAAATCAGCTAATGGAACATTTATGTTTTAGGTACACTGATCCTGGATGTGGACGGGTGCTGATGCCTCCAGCTCTAACGCATGACTGAAAACAACCTGCTGTTAAATCAGAAGATGCTGCACATGAAGGGGCAGAAAGGATTTATTTATGTCAGTGAGAAATGACTTTACCAAGTCCCTCAGCTTCAGCCGGAGCGGGTCGTAAACCCCAAAAGGTTGTGTGACTTTTATCTGTGCATGAAAATGCTGCAGCAGCACTTCAGCTCCATGGGTCTGAAGGCAAAGGCAGAACATTCTGGAAGGGTGATTGCCTCCTGGATCATTCTGACTGCAGCTGAAACTCAGTGAAGGCATGCTTAGATACGAGCAGCCAAGAGGACTTGTAGCTTTTGCACCCTCCAAGAGCATCTGTGGGCAGCTTTGAGTTTAAAACAGGAACAAAACTGATGTTTTATTACAGGATTCATGCACAAGTCCTGATCTTTGTGCGAGAGGTTCCTACTCATGCTTTCACTCACTTGGCCCTCATCAGATCCTGGTCTTTGAGGGCTGATCCCTGCAGGTAGATGACCCTCTGGGACCACAGGGGGATCTGGAGGATCCGACGAACCTGAATGTCGATTTCTGTTGGACACAGAATCACCACATAATAGTCCTGCGGAAAAAAAAACTGTTATGGAAATTTTATATTTCATTACTTTAATCCTATTCTCAAATGTCCTGAAGCACACACACACACACACACACACACACACACACACACACACACACACACACACACACACACACACACACACACGCACACACACACACACACACACACACACACACTCCCATCTTCATCTCCTTGTTTAAATAAACCGTGTGACCAGATGTTCGGGGCATTTTGCCTCGTGCATGTGCCGCAGTTATAACTGGTTGACTTGTCTGCTCATTGTCTCCTCTCTTCACTACAGGAAATAAGTTTATTGATAAACATATTGATAAAACTCATGACACAAACAAGACTTTTACACAACCAAAACTTAATTCCAAGTCTTTATTGCTATTAAAGGTTATTAAAGATTCATAGCTGTGACCTGCTTAAGGAGAAAAGGTCCTAAACAAACGTCTCTCAGGAAACCTAAACTGGTGCATCTGCTGTCCATAAAAGCCACAGCTGGATATTCGTGTCTCGTAAAATACGTTTATATTTTATTCGGTTGGCATTAAAATGTTTTTATAAATCCTAAAGGACATTTTTCTGTATAACTATGGTCAAACGTACACCACATAGAAGCAGAAGGGACGTCTTTAATCCGGCTTGCATATAATGCTGCCAATGGACCCCGCCCACTCAGCCCATGATCTATTCCCCCGCGTTCCCTCAAGCAGAAGGTTGAGCAGCTTCCAAGCCTGGACAGCTGAGGGAGTGAGGCTCATGAACTGTGCACTTAATTTCCTTCAGTGTGTTTTTTTTAATAAAAATGACTGTTATTTTTGTTTATGTGGACTAGCCTGAGGATCACATGTTGATCAAAACAACCCAAAAACATTTATCATCAACAGCCAAAAGTATTCTCTTAGGTTCCACCAAACCTGCAGTCTTGGATGAGCGTAGAACTCGTTGAGGAAATCCATCAGCAGGTCGATCTTTAGCGAGCTGACACACAACACCACGTGCTTCTCGGTTTGTGCCCGATGGCGACTGTAGTTCCCCCCCAGCTTCTGGCTCTCCATCCACAGGTATGCTAGCTCTTCAAACTAACACAGTGACAAGACTGGTGTGAAGTCAGAGCCAACAGGAATCCGATAAAAAGTGTGTTGTATGTCACATAATGTTATATATTCAGTGGGGTGAATTCTGGCATCGGTGGACAGCAGCAGGGATGATGAAAGCGAACGTTTATAAGCCAGTCAGCATGTAACGTTTGCTCTAGGGGCCCCAGCAGGTGTGCTAAACCTTCCCAACAGTTATCTGGCTTGAACTAGTGGAAACCAGACTGAGCTAGCGAAAAATAAAAAAAATAAAAAAACAACCTCAGTCACCACTTTTCCCCTCCGTTCAAAACTCCTGTAATTCACCGTTTCCCACCTAGACGTGTGCAACTTGTTCTGACAGCTGAACAGGGCGTAAACTAGCTGATGCCATGCTGAACGTCGCAAAAATCAACAACAACAACTAATACAACGTCTGGTGCTACTTATCCCTTTGTTCAGTACTTGTTTTGTGGAGGACCCATGTGATCAGGTGATGTAGGAGTTAAAGGTAAATTAAGTGAGAAGCTCTTATTTGTGGGAGGGGCTTGGAGTAGAGCTGCTGCTTCTCCAGCAGCAGATCTCCCTTTAACTGGTGAGAGATGGTTCATTCTAATTTTTGTGACATCACAAACTGGGTCTTTTTTAAAATGACCTGTTTAAGGCACATAATTCCTAAAAGCAAACACTGACAGGAAATGGATGAATGAATTTGTTTTCGTGTTTGCTGCCTCCATAAACACCCCAGAGAGCCACGTGGCAGCACAAAAGGATGCACAATATGAAGCCCTGCAACATTATAGTTTCCTGCTGCTCTGTTTTACTGGTTGTAAGTGGTAGCCCAACAGTTGAAGGCAGTCCTGCAGTAGCTACAATGAGCTAATGCTAACATGAGCAACTGGTACTAAACAAGCCAGTAGAAGGGTCCACACTGTTGGACAAAACATATAATTACTCACAATTCCAGTAGCAACAAAGCCAGGTCACCATCACTCTGATTTTGTAGCCTCCTACAGCTCCCTCAAACCAGTGTAGCTGCACCACGGTCACATCAAATCAAATCAACTTTATTTATAAAGCGCTTTCACACGCCCAAAATGGACAAACAACGCGCTGCAATGTTCACTCTGGTTTTAGCTCTCTGCACCACCTCCAAACACACTCATACTTTTACTTCCGGGCTCTGCCATAATGCCGACACGCTGCTAGCCTTTATGTTAACTATCAGTAGAGTAAACAGCTGACAGCTGGAACGCTGGCAGAAAGCTCCGCCTAGTGAACCAACCCATGCCACAAAACTGTTAAACTGCTGTTTCTGGTCAGCAGAGGGCGGTACAATCTGGAGTTGGTAAAGCTTAGAAAGCAACAGCTCAGTGCTGCTTTAAGACCAGCAGCAGGAGGTTGTCTAATTATATGGCCGATTTCTAGCCGGTTAGTTTGTACCTGCAGTGGGAGGACCACCAGAGCAACACAGATGAGAATGACCACCAGCAGCTGGGAGGGCCAGATCTGTGGAGTAACGTCCCCGTAGCCCACGGTGGAGAAGGTGACGATGCAAAAATAAAAGGCGTCAAACAAGGACAGGTTCTTCCCGGCTCTCTCCAGATGCTGAATCCCGCATGCCCTGCAGAAGAACAGCAAGTTATTCCCGTCTGACCAACGTCCTTCTGGTCCAGATGATCAAATGAAAAACCTGATTTAGTCCTCACTAAGCCAATCAGGATTATTCTGTAGTTGGATCGTGACAGAAAACCAGAATTCAATTTGACCAAAAGGCAACACAGCCTCGAAGTGACAGCATCGATTGTTCCATCAGTTCTCTCTCACTGGTCACGCCCATTTGTTTTGTCCTCAGAGAGACTGAAGCTTTAATGAAAGCCAGCGACACGGGAAGTGAAGCTGTTTAGCCAGAGTGAAGAGGAGGAAATGATGGGTGCTGCTCATGAACTCTACCAAAGACCTTCCATTGAAATAACCGGGGTTATGGAAGCAGAAATCCATAATAAACTAAATAAACGGGTAGTTGAAATGTAAGGTGCCTGGCAGCATTATCATGTAAGTCTGTACAAACACACAGAGCTACTAAAGAGTCTTCAGAACAAAATCAGAAACTTTTCAGCTACTAATTCATTCGAGTCTTTTATATTGAGATACGTGACGGTAAATGGGGTTTATTGCAGGTACAACCTGAAAAATAAAGGGTTCATTTGCTAGATTTAATAAAATATGAAGAGTAGCAAGTCCCAACTAACTTCTTACAGATTAAATAATCTAGCCTGATCAGAACAGGAAACAAAAATATCCCCAAAAGTGCTCTTCAAAAATAAACTATCTGGTTATTTCTGGTATTTTCTGTTCTAACCAGTCAAGATGTGCCTTCAGAGGAATACGATGCACTTTTCTCCTCCCTGTTATAAATATATAAATTAAATATAAATATATGTATGTATAAGTACTGCAGCTGTTAGAAGGGCAGATGTCCACCCACCCGGTGAAGACCAGACACAGTAAGGTGCAGATGAGGATGAACACCTGGTTAAACATGGCAGAGTGGGTCCTCTGGATGGCACGATGGAAATCGTTCTGCACAGACAGAAAAGACACGATGATAGATGATTACACGTTTGGGAAAATGATGAAAGATAAAAAAGTCCTGTTTCATACCAACAACGAGACCTTTGGTAAACTGGTTGCATTTGCATTGTTTTCATTCACATTAACTGTTGAAATTTCACTCCTAGAAAAAATAAAAATAAAAACTCTACGAAAAACTTTAATCTCTTAACATTAGATTCATTATGGCTATGAGGGCTATAAGGGAGTGTAAGGCAACAATACTGTCAGGGAATGTTGCTTATCCTTTCACTCATACATCCCCACGTGTTTGGGATTTTTCGGATTGGTTTTATTTTTAACTTTTATTAAATTTAGCACATGCATTAATGAAATGAAAGGACTAAAATATGCTGCACCGAGCAGTTGACCTGCCAGTTAAAGGGTTCAAAAAGAGTCCAAAGACTTGGTTTGAACTAAATTATTACATTTAAGATGTGAATAAACACATTTTAGACCCAAAAAATCTAATTAAATATTCAACAGACTGCTGAGAGTTAATTTTATTTCTGAATTAAAGATCAAACCGCTTCTGGCTCACTGTTCGAGTCCTCCCACGTTAGCATACCGTCCATCCTGACACCAAGCTGCTACGACTCATTCTTAGTTGCACCTCGTTAGCCTGTGCAGCCTGCCACCTCCTCGCTGTTGGACCCGGGTTCTACCATCTGCCAACTAACGCTTTGGCATGAAGCTCTCCCTCTGTCCCGGTCTCATCTGAATCCCTTATAACAGCACGTTACCCCGTTTGGAACAACAACCTTACTGCTTTTAAGCACATTTTTGAGACAGATTTACCATTGTGTGTTTTTTAGGTCATAATCCAATTTTATTTCATCCTTTTGCTTGCCTTATTGTTCAGACTGCTGCTCTTTGGTTCCTATCTGGCTTCAGAGTAAAACTTTATTGCATCTCTACACCAAACAAAACCATTGAAGCTGAATAAATGT